CCTAGCAATGCCATTGCCAAGGTCATGGTTCGATTCCCAGGGAATCCATGAACTGATCAAATGTATACCTTAGTCGCTTTGGATAAAAGTATCTGCCAAATACATAAATACAAATGCAAAACTGGGGGATGGCTGAAAAGATATGAAAAGGAGAAAACCTGAATTTCACATAATTACATTAATTGCTCTAAAAAGATTAAATTCACACAGAACGTGTTTTGCGTTTAAAAAGGTTAGATGCAGGCCAGGGCAAAGGAATGTAAAAAAGCACAAGGTCTAGAGGTGCATTTGATTAATTTCTTTTGACTTGAGCGAAGTGTTTTTAGAACACTGTGTCATGAACGAGACTCAAGGCCTCAACTATTTTCATGCACACAAATAATCCATTTCAGATTGATGGCTCAATCGGACTGAATGAAATTTCGATCTGATTGAAAGGGCTGGTGAAATAATGCGATCAACAGGAAAAATTAAGCATGTTAACACAATCTAACTATTTTCTCAATCTGATTGAATAATACCTTCAGTCTCATGACTTACAAACTCATCATGGGACGAGACTGAATATTTACTAAATATTCTGACATAAATATCAACTTTCTTTTTAAATGTGTCATCAAGGCAAAAATGACTAGCTTCGATGACATTAGCTCATCCCTAATCCTGTCATGTTTCATCAAGGATTAATCCACAGAAAATGATTAGATTGATCTTTAAAATAATCATTAGAATATTCGACTAATCGTAAAAAAACAAACAAAAAAAACAATAGATTAATTGACTAATTGTAAAAAAAATCGATAGATTAATCGTACATCAAAATAATCGCTAGTTACAGCCATAAATAAAAACAGTTCATTTAAATTTTCAGTATCTGATATTGGATTAGATTCATTCTGACTGATGAAAATTAGTGCATGTAAACATACCTAGTGTGGAGACTATCGTAAAATTATAAATCTTTTGGTCTTCTGAGATGTAGCCTGATAGTTAGTGCCTGTGCTCTGAAACGTGATGGCGCTCATATAAGGCAACGCAAATTCATGTCATCTGTCATTTCATTCCCCTTCTTCTCCCTAAAGTTCCCCTGTCTTGTTCTGAATCAAGTGTGCAGCACAAATCCTGAAAAGTGAAGCCAAAGCATTTCCATCGCCCCCTGGTGGCTGGCTTCAGTATAAGTCATAAACCCCGCCCTCTTCATGTAATCAAAAGGGATGCAAGCAATACAAAAAATTCCAATTACACTTCAAATAAATTTTTTTCAAAGATTGTTTTTGTCATTTTAGGTAGTTCTTGTCACGCAGACATATGTTCAAGTGTTTGTTTTTCCCAATAAGTTTGTTTTTTTGTTTGTTATTTGATGCGATAAAATAACGAGGTGTAACGTCATGATTGATAGCTGTGCTTGCGAATGACGTAATCGGCAATAGGGGTGTAACAATACATCAATATGGATGTATCTTTATAACGTTAATTTTCTCAGCTGAAATAAGACGCCTGACAAGATTGACTGAACCCTAAATACGTTTTGTCACAAAAGCCGGTATTGTCCACTGTCAAGGCATCACGAGTTCATGTTTTACAGCAGAAACCGACAAGCACCCTTGTTGTTGGCCGATAAGTCCGTTTTAGCGAATCAGGTCAGTATTCAGGTCAGTGACAAGGCTGTTAATCACTTTGAATTAACAGCCTTGTTTCGTCAAACCTGTCTAAAAGTGATCGAGGATGGATCATTTAAACGAACTTGATGAACCTTTGATATCTTCTTCGGGGCGTAACCTTGTAAAAGCAGCATGTTACAGTGGTGAGGGAAAAACTCCCTGTATTGCGTCTAATCACTACAATAAAGTTTGTCAGGTGTCTATGTCACCTGAGGAGATTAACATTACACAAACACAGTGTTTTATTATATATCATGGCAATTACTTGGTTTTGTTTAACTCTGAAACATGAAATGTGGAGTTACCTGCGTTTGCCAAAAAAACAACTGTTGTAGTTATCTGCTTTCGCTAAAACACAAACTTTTAATATATTAAAAAACATATTTTCAATTAACTTTAATTTTGTGAATTACCTGTATTTTTTTAGTTATCATTACTTATTCAAAACAACCCAGCTGCAGTTTGATTGATACTTGGAATCCACAATAAAACATTACATTTAAATGCATTTGGCAGACGCTTTTATTCAAAGCAACATTGTATTTCAAGGTACACATTTACATTCTTATCAGTTCTTGCTTTCCCTGGGAATCGAACCCATGACCTTAGCGTTGCAAGCGCCAACGCTCTACTGTTTGAGCTACAGGAAAGCTGTCATAACATAATTTATGAAAAAATTTACAAAAAACATAATTTATGAAAATGAACTAGAGCAGAGTTGTCTGTTTTTGCAAATGAACTCTTCTGTTGTAAATGTCCCAATTGGGAGAGGGTGTGCAATCTAGTTTAATTAAACGTTCATGTTAAATATTTTGGTTGCATTTGTGAGTTTATAAAAATGTAACTGGTTGTGTAAACTTGGCACATAATATCTAAATATCGATGAATCAATTGATATAGCCCTGAATCAAATCGAATTGTAATCGTATCGCAGAATTTTTTGAGGTATCGGCTAATATCGTATCGCTGGCTGAGAGACTCGATATCATATCGTATCGTGATGAACGGTCCGATTTACACCCCTAATTGGCAATGACCGTTTTTGGGATATTTTGGCATTTTTCTACAGTGGAAGGAAGTGGAGACGCGTCTATCTTTTTTTACAGTCTATGTTCTGAATAAAATAAAAGAGGAGAAATCCTTTGGATTCCAGATGATGTATTCAAAAGAGGTCAAAAGAACATGTGGAGCTGCCAAAACGAGACACCACGGAGGAGTCTCTCCAGATCACCAGAAACATCATTAGCTAAAACCACTAATGGGCTCTTTACGCAACCCAGCCTGAGCATTCTGTTCGTCTCCTTAACACCCTCACTATAAAAAAAATACGGTCGGCCAAGTTCCAACCCATGTGTATTATTCAGAGTGCTGTTCATTCACCTCCAATTCATTCTGCCTCACAATACCTCCTATCACTGGCCTGGACATTGCTAATTCATGGTGGTGACATTCATGTCTCTCAGAGTCATTCAGAGATCACCATGTCTGTCTTGGCCATTAAAACCGTGTCAATAAAGAGTGGGCTCTGTGGCAGAGCAAGAGGAAGCCCCTTCATCCGCCTGCAGAGCTCTCTGTTGTCTTGGCAAGTCAGGTGTTCACTGGCCCATGTGTAAGTAGGTTAATCCCTTCTCTCTATCTCACTCTTTCTGCTCCTGGAACCACTGCTCAGGAGAATAACCTCTCCTTGTTACATGAACTATTCTTAGAACATCACAAATCTCAGATCCACAGAGGATGAGAGTTGCTGGCGTGACTTGTGGGATTTCTGCCTTTGGAGAATTAGGGAAGCACAACTGGCTGTTCCTGAGTCTTACGTTTCCTTCTCTAAAACATCAAAGTGTGCAAATAATCTAAACTAATGCATTTTTACGTCTATGGATGAACTAAAAGAGCTTGATTCATTATGATAAATTATTTAATAGTTTCACATAGTGAAATGCAAAAGTTGATGATGGCTTTGGTATATTATCCCAAATGACATACATAAACATTACAAAAATTAAAACCCCTTAGTTTCAAGTAAAGGTTATGCAGATTCCCAAATCCCATTTGACTCTACCATTCTGCTAGTCCACGCTCATCTATGAGCATAATAACATACAGGCATCTAGGTCATGCGGACCATTAGCCCATCTGTCTCCGCTTATGTTCCAGTGCATTTGTTGCCTTTTACTAATTAACCGAGGTTGATCTAATCACAGTTTCACTTGTATGAGGTTGTTTACAATGGATATCCCTGACTATATATGTCAGATATATAATGGAATTTATTGTTGATGTAAAAAAAGATTTATTAATGCATATTTGTATGATAATTATGCACAAACATGCTCACTCCAAACATGTAAATAAGACTTGAACAAAATATTACATGTATTTTATTGATTATTTTGTTTAAACTTGTTTGCTTTGTAAAGCACTATATGAAGTAAACATAATAATAGTATAATAGTTAATATTATTAATAACAACTATGCCAATTGCATGACATGGCTGGTCATGTGATGTCAATATGGGAGCTAGCTACCATTAAGGGGCAACCGGCTCCATGTAGAATAAAACAGCTAAAACCGATCATTTCTCAAAAGTGCTGTTATTATTATCTTTATAGCAAAACAATAAAGGCTGTAACGTTAATTTCATGTCAAAGCAAATATGAGTCAATTCCTATTGACTCATATCAAGCTCCCAATTCACTGCACATCCACGGCTTCAATGACATCAGTTATTCAAGAGAATTGCGCCAACACTCCAAAATATGACGTTTTCTCTTGTGTGCACATAATCAATAAAATGTATTAAATATTAAAAATTGATATTAAATCCAACGGACCTCTTCCAGCTTACATGAAATTATAGATTTAAACAAAATTCATTTTTATAAACGCATTACAATAGGCACCAATTGATGAAACCAAGAGAACACAGATTTTCGTTGTTAAAAAATAATATCGTTAACATGCGCACAAAACAATAAAATAGCTTAAAACAGCAGACATTACGACTGAAAAGCAGAAACGGAGACAATGTTGTCGAATAATTTAAAGTGTTACTGTTAACAATGGATATTTTCATATACGACTGTTCATCAGCGCCGCATTCTGTGTATTGTAAATCCATATCTACCGAACCACATGCAACCCAACGGGGACGAACCGGTGCTTCAAACGAGAAAGAGAGTGTCAAGGAGAATTTAGAGGTTGCAGGACAGAAATGAGCGTGAAGTGTGTTTAAAGTGGATCCTCCATTGGATTGGGCTCGTTCAAGGACCGTTATTTGTGTCTTGCACATTAGTGCGAGTTGAGCCTCCCTCATTTAACAGTAAAAGAGCGGCCTTACCTCTTCCAGAACATTGACCGTGTTCCGACAGCTCTGCAAGCGGGTGGTGAAGCTTGATGTCGTGGGGGAATTGTAATCCTCCGTCGTCTCCGAGAGAAACTCGGACACGGAGATCTGATCCGGCATCCTTGCAAACACAGTCGCCCAATAAAAATGGAGGGGAGAAAAATCACAATAGCACCATGAATTAGACAGGGGTGGTCAAGGACGGAGCGATGTCTCAGTTTGGGTAAGGTTGAATGGCAAGGCAATGCGTAAAATGAAAAGAAACGTTGCCAAATGTGTGGCAGACAGTGCCTTTTTCTTCACTGTGCAATTCCCGTCCCTAGAGAGGGTCGCTGTGTGTAATTTCCACGTCTTTCCTCTTCCCCTGTCTTAATTATCCACTTGCATCTACATAAAACGGCTCAGGCTCCTCTCCTTGTTCTCCCAATGTAAGATAAAAGATGCTGGTTTAAAATGCCCTCATTCCACAATTTAGCTTTAAAATAGTATGATAATTTGAGTATTTCCTTAAATTATTGTTGTTCCGGTTTCGGAAGCGGTTTCATTCTGTTTTCCCTTTCTCTTTCCTCCGTTTTCCCCCCCGTCCTGACGGTCTGAGCTCCCTGACACCAGCGCGTGCACGCACGCTCATCTCCTCCCACCATTGATGACGGGATAAACAAGAGGAGAAACTGCGCATGCGTTAGAAGGCTTAACCTTAGCAGCCTCATAAAAGACATTTCTTTTAAATCAAGAAGTCAAATCAAATGAATAAATAAATTAGTATGGTTCATATAATAATCATAATATTAAGGAATTAAATAAACGCAAGAATAAATGATAAATTATTGGTAAAGTGAATTAGTATGTTAATATTATGTTAGTATTAACGTTAGTATTATAAAAAAATAAAAAATAAATCCAGAACTAAATTGTGCAAAAAATAAAAAAGGGTCCAGTTGGGTCATTTATTTATGCATTAGGTTATATTTCTTATTATTCCATTCATAGACCATAAATGTACTATAGTCTATAATGTGTTGTTTTTTTTTTTGTTTTTTTTTGCCCTAATGCTGATATATACTGAACACATCCAGAATTTACGGTTTCATCCACTGAAGCAAGAAATGTTTAAGATGTTTTAACAGTCAGTCATTTGTTTATTATGCTGTTATAATACAGCACAAGCATGTAATGGTTTGTCTCAAATGTACACATTTTTACTTTGTAGGAACTTCAGTTCAGCACATAGGCACAAATTTTTTTTTTTTTTTTATAGCCTCACAGGACCACAATCTGTCCATGGGGGCATGAAACAGTTTAAGAGTTCAGGCAGTTCTTTGATTAAACTTAAAAATAGTTTGACTATACTCTGCTGTAAATTGAGGAGTGTTAGTATAGATTGATGTGCAAATCTGGAGGCAGAATAAACTCACTGAAGCACATATGATGTGCAGATGGAATATTTAGTGCATAACATAAAGAAGAGCAGTGCATTTTCTACTCACCGACTCCATAAAGAATCCCTGGAGGAAAAACTTGATAAACGCGAGGATGAGGACCTCATCTCTGTAGTCACCTCAATAAAACAGCCTCAAATTGAGACAATAAAAATACATTAATATCAGTGAGAGGAGAACATTTCAACTACATCTGTTCCCTATTGGGAAATCCAGCTTAAGCTAGTAGCTGGTTTCTGGTCCAAGCTGCTAGACCAATTTTGGGCCAGCAACAAAACCAGCATCTTGAACTGGTCAATCTGGTTATTTTTTAAAACATAGTTGGTCAACCAGCTGCATGTTGCAAGACACAACTTCTTTCCAGGATTTTCCAGAGAAGTAAATATTTCAATAGTTGAGTGCGATTCTCATCTTTCCAAGGAAAAATACAATCCCTAAAAATAAACCTCTCCTGAAGTTTCTGTTTGCTGCTGACATCACATTTGTCTAAACAATTTTTGCCACTCAGGGAAAAAAAAACCACGCCTTATAACTTACCGAGGCAGCTGCGGTTTCACTCCGTATTAATAGATTAAAAAGTACTAGCAAAGCCGATTGTGCGTAGAGCTCCGAGTTTCCAAGTGGCACCATATTCACTGCATTGTGCTCAATCCAGCGCGCGGACATTACGGGCTGAAATCACATGCCGCTACAGTTACAATGAGCAGGAATGCGCGCATTGATCTGCCCCATCTGGAGCTGCTGGACAGGAAGCGAAAATCAAGCATGTGGGCTGGAGGGGGCCGGAGGAGGGAATCCTGCACAGGACCACAACTAATGGCAGGAACTGGGAACGCTTAACTTTTAAATGGAAATCTGATACCACTGGCGAATTGAACGCGTTATGCAGTATTAAATTCAGCCTCACTGACAGAAATGACAAACTCGTTCTCTGAGAATGCTGATCAGCAATGGTACTCACTCAAAATAATAATCAAAGTATATTAAGGTCATCAGGTTAAGGTCATCAGACACAAGAATAAAAAAATTAAAAAAAAAAAATTAAAAACAAGAATAGAAAAAAAATTAAATTAATAAAGAAATCAAGTTTGTTAAAAATGAATCATTTTAACTAATTTCAACGTAGGCTATTTGGAAAACAGCTACAATAAATAGTAACTGCATGTCAAATTAAGTTAAATGTTTTTTTTTGTTTTTTTTGCAAATGTTTTAAATCAGGCAAAGATCAAATCAGCATCCTCCATCTCCTTGAAGTTCAATATTATTTAATTAATATATTATATTATATATACATTTATTATATATGAAGTTCATCATATATATTGTAAATGCAGGAGTCAGGACCTTCACGGAATATATAGAATTATTTTTTTAAGTATTATTTTTTAAGTTTATTATCATTATAAAAAATTAGAAGTATGAAATCTAGCATTTCTGAGGGTCTGGATCTGTAAAGGTTGAAAATTGTTGCTCTTAAATGCATCAGTCATGTTTTTATAACAATGGATTGAATCATTTGGCACATTGGTACACACACTCATCCACATACTAAAAGTCCCCTAGAAAACAGTAATAAAAATTTCACTTTTTTTGATGCATCTGAAAATGCACAATTAAGTACAAGAGGGGAAAAAGTGCATTTATTATGGAGGATCTGCAACAGAACGTTCTAAACAAGACTTGAGCAGCTCGTATAGTCCTCAGAGCTCCAGCAACTAGCTGAGGCAAACAAATATAAACAGGAGAACAGGGGATTTCATCTCCATTCCAAAGTCTTTCAACCCTAACATCCACCTCCATGCAACCCTGATACTTTCGATACTTATAAAAGCTCAACCGGCTTTGAACAAATTATTTTCAAGTTAAAATAAAAAGAACAAAAAAACAACCAACACAGATTTTAATAACACACCTATATAAAGGCAATAAAAATTTATGCGATTACCACACATGTAACACAGCTCCGTTAAAAGAAAAAAACAACAAAGAAAGTTGTCCGATTGACTAAATCTGTTGCATGGACGTAGTGATGGGGAGAGCTGTTGGCCCCCATATTGTCTCTTGCCCTGTAAAGATAGGGAGCAAGATTACTGCATGCTGTGAGCTCACAGCTACTGAACCCCCTCCCTGTTTTCTGGGAGGGGTATTACAAGGGGGCGTGTCCAGCACAGCCCCCTCTAAGAGGGGGTGGGACAGGTTAGTCTGAATCAGAGTCACTACTATCTTCTGATGATGAGCTGCTGGAGCCGTCTGACCGGTCATCATCATCATCGTCATCTTCATTCTGTGTATCATGTGTCAATGTTAGAAAAAAATGAATACCGTCAATAATAATAGAGCAGATTTTCTAAAAATGTAACAAAAGGAAAATTAACCTCATCATCTTCATCATCATCATCACTATCAGTGCTGCCAGATGACTCATCATCATCATCCTCCGAGTCTGAGGTGTCTGTTTTGTCATCATCGTCATCGGAGTCCGACGTGTCCTGCTGGAAACCAAGAGTCACATATCTTTCAAACACGCAGCTATGCACGTGTATCACTGTATTTGTTTGTGTACACACATACAAACCCGCACACCATCAGCTCACATCAATTAGCCAACTTTAAGATGATTAACACCCTAAGACACTTCATACTGAGTCCACAGCCTGTGTGGGTGAGTTGCCCAGAGAGAGCGGGCGTTACCTTGGCCCGGTACGCCATGGAACGCTTGCCCCCCCCAGGACCCACCGTCGCGGGTCTGGCACCTACCGCCTTCGCTTTGGTGACTCGGACTTTCGCCCCAGGACCTCGTGCTTTTGTCGTGCTTCGCCGTTTCTATGAGGGCAAAGAGAAGGTGGGGTAGAGGGGTGCAAGGACAGAGCAGCACAGGAGAAAAAACACGTTCAAGCTTAAGCAATGATTATTAGACCCACAGTACAGCCCTAAGAACATTATCCATTCAAGTCATGTTAGTTTGAGTTGAGAGACGTATGTGATTCTGAATAGACAGAAAGGAAATAATAAAGCTACATGTGTTGGCAGGGACAGAAATAGCCTCTATAAGCAAAATCAATCAACTAAATTAACCAGAGTGCCTCATCTTGCCATGCAGTGCAGAGGGTTACGGCATAGATATGAATGCTGTGTGAGAAGTAACTCTAATATAGGGAGCTTTGCATTATAAAGCGCAGGTTACATCGGCAAAAACGCGCAATTACTTACCGTAGTGGAGAACTCTTTATAAACCGCACGCTCCTGAGGGGACAGTGACTAGGAAAAAAAGCAAAAACGAGAGGGAAATACGTCACTACAAATCTCCAAACTCACATTGTTCACACATTTATTTTTGTAATAAGGCAAAAGACACACAAAAGTGTCCATGTTAAAGAAAAGGTAAATCTTTTTAAAATCTAGTTTAAAACACGTGTCTGAAAGGGTCAAAAACCCTACCCTAAATTTCCTGAGATTTTAGTATTGTTTAACAGTGTGTTGAATATGATAGAAGATGTTACCATTCGTTAGATTTAATTGTAGGAGAAAACTAGTCTTTTTTTGCGCAACTTCCGGGTTTAAATTCATCTTCGTGTCAACGTCACAGGATGTGAAGTTTTATTGTACTATAGTACGGTGATGACTCATCAGTGTCTCATAATTATTCATGAGACTGTGTGTCCTTATCCTATGAGAAGACGTCTCGCTTAAAGGATTAGTTCACCTCAAAATGAAAATTTCCTGATAATTTACTCACCCAAATGCCATCCAAGATGTTCATGTCTTTCTTTCTTCAGTAAGGTCTTGTGCCAAACTACTTAAGGTTTCCTTAATAATTTCTTTTTTTTTTAACAAGGCTCTTTTTCTATCGTTTTTTGTGCTGGTCTGCGACGCGCCAGGGATTACGTCATCACGTTGGAAACGTCACGCGTCACGTCATCTAAGTTAGTTGTCTGTGCACTCCGGTTCAAAAAGGCAGGGAAGGGCGAAAAATTCCATCTCATTTTCTCCCGTTTTCTCCTCCAACTTCAAAATCGTCTGATATCTTTGTTTTGATTTATTATTATTATAAAAAATAAAAAACAAATTGTGACGTTTCCAACGTGATGACGTAATCCTTGGCGCGTCGCAGACCAGCACAAGACGAACAATTGTGGTTAAAAAGTATATAAATGTTTATTTTTTTTAGAAAATGCCAATCGTTTCGCTAAATAAGACCCTATTCCTCAGCTGGGATCGTGCAGAGCCCTTTGAAGCACTTCATAGCCCTTTGAAACTGCATTGATTTGGACTTCAACATGTTGGTTGGAATTGAAGTCTATTGTGTGGAGAAAAATCCTGAAATGTTTTCCTCCAAAAACTTAATTTCTTTTCCACTGAAGATAGAAAGACATGAACATCTTGGATGGTATTGCGGTGAGTAAATTATCAGGAAATTTTCATTTTGAGGTGATTTAATCCTTTAAGTATTCACAACAGCACGCATTGATTTCCCATGACAGGCGCTTCAAACAGTAAGATTGCATACAGTAAGTGAAAGATGCACTTACTTCTCACAAAACCATGTATATTGTGTATTGGTAATGGTGAATTGCAGCGTGCATTTGTGGGAAGCTTTGATACTTTTAACTCAATGAGAGCGAAATAAAGTCTGAATCTAAGCCGTTGCTGTGTTGTCGGTCTCCCCTCTTCTCCCTCCACTCTGGAGCTTACATTGGTCAATGCACTTGTGTAGCATGTTTCAAAACTGACTGTGCTGAAACAGGGGGTTTCATGGCCCTTTAAAAGTGTACTCTTTGTATTTATATTTATTCATAAATAATATCTATGTTTTTGCAGATTCACACTACGATATTTTACCTGAACAATTTGCTTTGTTTTTCAAAAATTAAAAAGTAGGGAAGTCTTTGTTAAAATATAAAAAATATAATAAGAATAATAATAGATTAAAAAGATATATATTATGGCAAACTACTTAAGGTTTTCTTCTAAATAATTTCATTTTCTTTTAACAAGGCTCTTTTTCTATCGTTTTTTTACTGTATGCCCCCCAAAAATGATCAAAATGAATTATTATTTAGAAATTGAAAACATGCTCAAACATGGTTGAGGTGTAATTCATTTTTAATGTATTTCTGAACTACTTAATATATAGGACAATAAATTAGCATCATGCCATTGACCCAATAATAAACAAAGTGTGTTTGATCTGCAGAACTGGATGATTCAACAAACTTCTTACCTTTACCCAAGCCTCAAGCTCAGCTTTGTACTCTAGCTGTTGTTCCTCCACCTGTTTTTTATATTTGTCTTTCTGGCTCTGACTAAGCTTGTGCCATCGCTTGCCGATCTCCACCATGCGCTCCTTCAGGCTGAAGTGATTCAGCTCACCGTTAGTTAGGAGTTCCTGAGATGATACAGCTCCCTGCGGCTGAAGGATAACATTAAGCACCCGCTCCTGTCGGTGAAAGGCAGAAAAAGTTTGGTAACCCTTATATTACACTGTCCTTGTTACATGTACTTACTGTAGTAATAACAGTAAATTATGTAAGGTAATTTATCACATGGAACTAATCCTAAACTGAACCCTAACCCTAATTATATTGTAAGTGCATGTTGTTAATTAATATTACTCAGTAGTTAAATGTATAGTTACACTGTAACAAGGACACCTTTAAACAAAATGTAACCAAAACGCTTTTTTTTTATAAGAAGGAAAGTCTCTCTGGAAGCAATAAGCTAAAAACGAGACACTTACACCGGGGGCTTCTTAGGCTCGCCATCA